ATATATGAGAGAGAGAGAGGATGAACAGGTGGAGAGGGATGCTAAGATGAAGAGAAAAATGGTAAGGGCTGAGAACACAGCATAAAAAAGGCAGCCTGGCAAAAGGACAGTTGGGGAAGGTCTTACTCCCAGATGAAAATGGAGCGGAGAACTGAGCTGTATAGCTTCACTAAGCCTTGGTGATATCTGCTGGAAGCAGGTTCCAGACAGAAGGAGCCACAAATGTAAATTTCCAAAGTAGAGTTGCATTTGGAGTGATAGAGGAAAGCACAGGATGCTTATATTACTGGAGTAGAAGGAAAGAAGGGAAAAGAATGAGGAAGAAGAGATGAGTAGAAATGAGCCCACTACTGTCTACCCACCAGTTGGTCCTCACCTATATCTTCCCAGGAGAAAAGCCAGGCATACTAGTCCCTCATCGTGACTCATCTCTATTTCCTGGGCTCCACAATCTTGCCTCATCTGGGTGGTTATCACCAAGAACATGTTCCTAAACCACAGCTGGGTGCATTTAGCTGCCACGATAAATATATCATAATTGCAGGAAGACTCACTATTAAAATCCAGTTCCTCAAAGATCATCTACAAGTCTTGCTTCTCACCAGCCATCTACTTTCCCACGATCCAATAAAATTTGTACATATTCCAACAGTCGCTACCTCTCGGCCAAAGGCAGCTGGCTAATGAGCCTCCATCTAACAAGCTCCATTCTTTCATGATCATTTAGCATTCAATGTCCCCAAGAAACCCCAGACCATCTTTGGCCAAACACAAGTGGAGAAAAGGAAAAGGGAGGGGAAATATTCATTACCCTTGAAAGCAGAGTTCAGGTGTTTCTCACCTTGATTGAACTTGCATTGGAAGTACCCTCCTTCTCACCAGGTCTGAAATCTTTGGTTCTCGGCAGGCTAGAAAGAAACAGACAAGGCTGCACAATCCTTTTCCATATTCACTGTTCACATCACTAAGTGTAGATTCATACCTGACCCACCTTTCTGGATACCTAGTGCTCATTTCTCCAGTCTCAGAGCCAAGCTTAAACAATTCACATAGCAAAAGAGCATGCCTTTCACCTAAATTAACAGTTCCCTCCACAGACCTCGGAAGATGCCTCTGAAAAGCTACTCTGTCTAGGTAATTTGGGACAGTGACAGTTAGTGGGACTGAAGTATCTGCTCATGCAAATGGTACTAGCAAACCTAATCACAATGGAATAAAATACAAACTGAAGTTTCTAAATTAGAGCCCACACAGGGAATTTGAAGGTTCTCCTTTAAAACCAGACATCAGTGTTAATCATAGATTAAGTCTTGAGTAACTGGTTTGTCCATGTCCTTTCTCTGAAATTAAGGTCCCCAACAGTCGCTAGAGGACAGCTCAAAGCCCCATTTCATTTTGTTGAAGTATTTTTTTTTTCTCCACAAGTGAAAAGGAATCCTTCCATCTTGCTTTCCCAATTAAGCAGCCAACATTTGTCTAATTAGCAACTTAAGAGTACTTTGGCTGTATTAATTTGTAAGAGAAGAGTTGACAAAAACTCCAAGGACATATGTGACACCGTTCCCATACTTAATGAAATAAAACATCAGACTCTCTGCTGGTGGGGATGAAAGTCGTTTCTGGCTAAAGTCTAAAGTGATTTATTCCTTTCACAAATCATTCTTTCATTCCTTTTCCCAGGATCCAGGTTGTTGACAAACACCCAGAAGGGAAAGTGGAGGATGGAGGCAATTATCTGGATAATCTAGGACAAGAACATGCTTTTCTTCCGGTTAAACAGCCAGATCATTGTGACCCGTCCCCTAAATAGAGGAGCTGCTAACCTGAAACGAGTGAATAAATTTCGCAAGAAGCTACGCGTCCCCACTGTAATGAGAACACATCTAGCCCGTTCATACGACATTCCACTTCGCTGTTTCCAACCTATATTTTTAAATTTGCTCCCTAGACTGCCTCACTATGAATTCACCAGTCATTTTACTTATCACCCCTCTTATCTTCTCCTCTGTCTTCTATCTGGAACACCATGCTGACACCTTTTCACATTTCCAAATCTTTCCTAGCTTTCCAGGCTGCTCCCATGCCATTATCCCTATTTCAGGAATGTTGATCTTGTCTTCTTCTGAACTACTCATTTGTTCCTATAACTCTCTCCTGAATGTTCAAGGGTTTGCTGTCTTAAAAAAAAAAGTTTTAATATGACTAACCTCTTCTCACATAAATGGCCAGAGTTGATGAGCCTGTTCGGTTTTCTATCTGTTGCATTAACTTAATATTGGATAAATGTAGCTATGTAAGTGCTTATAAATTCTGTGCTTGGACAGAATATACACAAAACACACAAAGCTCAGCTCTGCCATTTTCCTCAAAATGCTGATAACTATATCACTCTTTTCTTCCCTCAAGATGTTGTGAATAAAGAAAGCAAGTCCTCTCTAGATCCAGATAAAAGAAGCAAATGTTTTAGGGATAGGTTCCAACCAAAGAGTTATATATAGTTCCAGGGAGAAGTTAAGAAGGATATTTTTTTCAGGGGCTTAAAAGCATGCATGAGAGCTACCAGAAAGTGCAGCAAATCCATCTATGTCAACAGAATCCAGAAATACCTGTAAGTTACCTTTTATGCATATGGGCTGTTTCCCTGACCACTCTCCATTTTGCTGGCAAGTTCTTTTCTCGTTGCCACTAAGAATATAGGAGTTGTTACAAAAGAATGACACAACGGTGCCGATTTTTGCATAATGCCCATTGAGAAGCCCAAGCCCTCCAGTTATTTTCTTGTATCCATTGACTGGGCCTCCAAGCTCTGAACAGTTTCGTTCTTCTAGAACTAAAAATGAAAAGTAAGAGGGGGAAAAAAAAGAACTGTTGAAAGTCTGAGTCATCCAATTTTAGAATAGAATCTTTTCATATTTCATTAAATTAAAAATACAGTGATATAGAGCTTGCTTACAGTGGTGCTCCAAAGATTTACCAAGAGAAATCTCAACAGAATATGCAAGGGTTAGACCTGTGCTTCCTTTTGTTTTAATGATTTATTCCTAAATTGAGGAATATTCCATTCTAAATATAAATAAATTTGATACCAGATCTGACCCTCATATAATCTTATTCATTTCTCTCTCAAACTGTAGGAGCTGGGAAAGCCTGCACAAAGTAAGAATTTCACCTGGACTTTACAACCAGCCATTACAATACAGAGGTCAGTGTTTCCTGATGTTGTATTAGCACCTTCGTCCTCTAACACTTGGACAATCAAACAAGGCTATTCCGTTTCCTACTTGTGCTATACCCAGAAAGTAGAAGTGATAAGAAACGGAAGTACATGTATGTAATAAATTGAGATTTTTATAACTCATCTTCAAAAACAAAAGAGTGATGAAAGCTTAAACTAAAAAATAATTAGAAGATAGCACTAGAGGATAAAAAATATATTTGCTGCAGAAATACAACATTTTTCTCCTGATCTCCAAATGAAACTTTCCATCTGCTCACTCAATATTCATTACAAAGGTATTTCTATTCTTTGACTCCTGTTGGACAAGTACTTAAATTGGAAATAACATCACTAGCTATTCTGAGCACTGAACAGGATCTGAGATGTAGTCTGAAAATATTCTATCAGATAGGTAACATAGTTTTCTTAAATAGCTTGTGGCTCAGCACAGAATATGACTTGCTGAAGGAAAGAGAGTGAATCCCTTGAAGAACTCAATATTTAATTACTGAATTCGGGTACCAATCACTCTGTCAACCTCCTTGCTTCTTTTTAATCATTTCTTCTAAGAAACAGACTCATCCCTAGGAAACATATGCTCCCTGTAATGCAATAATGCAATTAACATGCTTGTCCTCCCCTCACCACCCCAATTATCTTCTAAGCAACTTGCGTGCTTACCTCTTGACAAAAGAAATCTCCATTCTAAAATATTTGAGAATCAAAAATAAGCAAATGTCTTTCCTTTGGGCAAATTGGAAAGATGGTTACAGTTAGCTAAATGAGTGGCTTGTCTACTCTAAGATTATCCACAGACCATGTGGCGAGATGACTGATGATACTGTGTGGGCTTGGGGGCTATGTAATATGAGCAAGATCCCTGATGGGTGACTCTAAAACTCCTATTTAAAGTGAAAGCTGTTTAAAAATACTAAGGTGGTATAAGAGGACAGTGCATTTTTGGGTTCTGCAAATGGACTCAGAAAACACCAGTGCTGGTATTTTCAGGAATACCACTGTGGTGTGGGAGGGAGAGGCAGAGGGAGTAATACGTGCTGCTTCTGTGAAAGGGCTTCCCCTTTTTTAGTACAGATTCATTCTGTTCTGAACATATTGCCTACAGTGCAGCCTCTGGGGCTCACAGACTGCAGTCACCTCAAAAGCATGGTGTATTCAGCCAGGTATGGTGGTGTACGCCTGTGATGCAGGAAGATGGCAAGTTTGAGCCTCGCCTGGGAAACTTAGTGACTTAGCAGGACCCTGAATCAAAATCAAAAATAAAAAGAAAGCGGGGCTGGGGATATAGCTCAGTACGAAGACCCTAGGTTCAATCCCTGGTACTGGAAAGAATGGTGCATTCTATGTGCAATTCATTCTTAAAAATTGGAATTAGTTACCAACATAAAAATTGGAGAATTTCACATGAAAATATGACAGGATTCAGCTTTGGAACCTCTGGGCCTGTATGCCTGTATAGCTACAGTCTAGTGGCACTGAGACATGGCTTGTTCTTCACTTGATCTCACCCCATTAGACTGCCTGGCTCTAGCACCAATTAGCTTATCAAAGGGCTTGGATTGGTATAATTCAAGTCTACTCCCTTCTCCATTTTGAGCTTTGTTAAAGTTCATGGTCAAGAAAGATTGGGTGATATTCAAGGCCAGCTCTGAAATACTTAGAGAACACAAAGATGTGAAATCCTTTCTACAGATAGTTTCCATAGGTAAGCCTGAGAGTTGGGTTTTCCTTCCACACCCTGCTAGACCTCCACCCCATGATCTGCCACGCACAGGCTCTCAGGAATCAGACGAGGTGTGAATGAGAAACATTGTGAATGTTTAAACTTAAAATTTTGACTAAAGTAACAATATATTGCCATTAAACTCCATCAAAACATTTCCCATGGCTTTGAGCACTCTTATCCCATCAGTCTTGCCTCTTCCTGGAGCAGTTCTAGAAGTCCTCTTTTGCGAGTGTCTTTAACTGTACTGTTAGGGCTGTCGCAAAGTTCTGAAATCATCAAAGCATTTACCTTTAACGGACATTTTGACTTTGGAGAAGAGCTAGAAGTCTATGTTGATCTAGAAGTCTAACAATGTTGATCTGGTGAATAAGGTGGACGAAGACGCATTGTTACATTTTTATGAGCCTGCCTTTTCCTCTAATGGCACCAGGAAGCAGCATTCACACTCATGAACACACTCTGAAAGACACCCATGAAGGAGGTCTTCCAGAACTGCTTCAGAAAGTGGCCAAAATGATGGGAGAAGAGACTTTGAAGTCAGGGGGAGTATACTGAGAGGGATTAATAGCAATGTGTCTTTTATTGCAATAATTTGTTTTTAATTTAAGCATTCATTGTATACTTTAACTACTCCTTGTATATCTAAGGTATTTAATGTGGGTAAGTAGAAGGAATTTTGTACAATTCTTGAGTCCTTGGAGGTCACACAAAGATTTAGGACAATGCAGATCCTTTGCTTTTCTCATTGAGGAGACTTTTTTTTTTTTTTGTACTTGATCAAACTCAGGACCTTGTAATTGCCAGGCAGGCGCTGCACCACTGAGCCACATCCTGGTCTGAGAAGACTTGAAGAAGACTTAACGAGTAACTTGGAATAAGCAAACACCAATGCCTGAGGCTGAGGGACACTGCTGTGTTTCTGCAACTCTCATATGTGTATGCCCTTTTATAAGCGGACATTCCTCACATCACATGTATACTTTTCACATAATGTTTCCTCACTTCTGGTCCCAGGAAAGTTATAATTAAATCAATGATGCAGTTTAAACTTGATGAGATCTTAGAATAAAGAGCTATTATTTAGTTTTAGACTATTGCTTATGGAATGTTATCGGGCTAAAGCCAAATCACACTTTTAAGTCAGGATCCAATAAAAGGTTCAATGGGACTTAATGCTTGTCTCTCCTTCCCCCAACTCACATACTGAAATCCTAACACCTCAGTATCATGGTGTTAGGAGGTAGAGTGTTTGGAAAGTCATTAGGTCATAAAGGTGGAGCTTCACAAATGAGATTAGTGCCTTGTACACGGCAACCCAGAGAGCTCCCTTACTTCTCTCCTTCCTTCCCCAACGTGAGGATGTAACCATAAAACAGTCATCTATGAATCAGGAAGCAGGCCCTCACCAACTGAAGAGTCTTCCAGGGCCTTGATCCTGGACTTCCCAGACTCCAGAACTGTGAGAAATAAACATTTGTTGTTTAAGTCAGTTTGTAGTACATTTTTACAGCCCCAACTGATTAAGATTGAAAGAAAGAGGAAGAAGGAAGAAGAAGAAGAAGAAGAAGAAGAAGAAGAGGAAGAGGAAGAGGAAGAGGAAGAGGAAGAGGAAGAGGAAGAGGAAGAGGAAGAAGAAGACAGAAAAACAACATATATTGCCTGAAAATCAAAAATACAGACAATAGAAAAAGAGTTGTAGAAGATACAGATAATGTAGTTATCTATCTATCTATCTTAGTTACTTTTGTCACTGCTGAGACAAAAATACCTGGCAGCCAAAATTAAAGGGAGAAAGGTTTAATTAGCTCACACTTTGTAGAGGTTTCAGTTCGTAGTTGCCTAGTTCCAAGGCAGGGTGGCATGACAGAGGGGCACTGCAGAGAAGAAACAGTTCACAGTAGGAAGAAGGCAGCAAAGTAGAAAACAGCAAGCAGAGTCCCTCTTTCTGTGCCCTTGTCCTATCCAGGCTATCCAACCTTAGGGCAGGTAGCACTCACACCCAGGGTGGAGAAGCCTTAACCCTAGCATCACAACATGAATCAACCCCACCATCACATCCTTGATCCGAGCATCACATCCCCTAGATTCAGCCACTTCCAAAAAGTTCCACCTATGTCCACCTATGAGGCTCTGAGGGGGCATCTAGATATAAACCATAACATTGTCTGGTGCCACTTAAAAATAACTAGGCTGAATATATTCAAGGAGGTAAAATATAAACTTGAGAACATTATCAGATAACTGTAAATACTGAAATGTAACCAAAGGGGAAAAATCTAAACCTAATAACTATAATGGCAGAAATTAAAAACTCAGCAGATGAGTTTACTAGCAAATCCAACAGGGCTGAAGAGTATTAATAGTCTGAAAGAGAAAAGAAAAATTTTAGAACGTAATCCAAAAAGGGAAAAAGATGAAAATGTACAGAAAAATGTAAGAGATACATTGGTTACAGTGAGAAGACAAATAAATGTATAAGTGGCATCCCAGGAGGGAATGGAGTAGAAATAATGAGCTAAGAAATGATTATTAGGCTTATTTGGGCATAGTGAAATACTGCTTTCCCCATTTGGGGGCTATGGTAGCATTTACCAATAAAGAATTTCCAAACCTGCGTTGACTCACACTTCTAGGTACCAACCACGATGTCTGTATGTTTGTATTTTTAACCTTGTACAATAAAGCTTTAAAATTATGTCCTGTATCAAACAGCCACAGGGCACTATTCTCCCTTCTCTCTCATTTTCTGTATTTTCCAAAGCACATGCTGCCTTATGATGCTTTTGAACAGAGTTCTAAGACCTCTTCCTTCCCTCCTTCCTTGTCTCTCCCAGTTTGATATCTACCTGGTGGGTACACAGACCATCTGCATCTCATCGCAGCTCCTTCCTATGGTTAGATTTCAAAATTATCTTTTCTTTTCCATGTGTTCCCTTTTTAGAAACCTTTGCATCTCCCCATCAGGTTCATGACACGTTTCTCTTTGATTTTTCAAAAGCTCTATGTTCCATTTCTTCTCAGTATGATGGATATTTTCAGATAAAGCCAATTGAGAATTTAAAACATCTGCATCCCTGGCCTGAAGTATCACCAAGCTCCTGCTTTGCTAAGTAAAATATTCTATGATTAATAATAAATAACATAGTGCCCTGTTTCTTTGGGGACTCAGAATGGGGACATAACTCACTAAATTTAGCATGTCCCTGCATGCTACTGAATGAACAAGAACAATCACGGGCAGGAAAGTAGAAGATAGATGTCCAGAAACGAGGAAGAAGATCAGGATGAAGGGCAGGAAAGACAGAGGGGTGTAATGGGAATGAAAACAATCAAGATATGTTATTGCATGTTTCAATGTACCAAGACAAAACTCATTATTCCATGTTACTAATAGGGATTATTTTAAAAATCCAGTCATCAGTGCATTTCTCTGGAATATTGTTTCACATTAACATTTAAAGAAAAAAATTTATACTTGATTCGCTTTTCCTCAGGGCACCCATATGAGTGGTTCACTGTGATACCATCTTGCATAGGTAACACCTTTGTAATGGCTCTTGTCACAAACATTACTGGCACACGTCCAACTCCCTTCATACCCTTTTACCAACTCAGGGCTCCTTTTACTTGCACCTTAGCTTCTCCATATGCACTATTCTCTTGAGAATTTGCACCTGTAACTTTCAGAAGACTACCTTTGGGTATAGGCACCATCTTGCCCAAAGAAAGAGCTAAAAATTACCTTGATTTTTGCCCCCCCTCGTCCACCCAGAGTAACCTATAGCTGATGAGTAATAGAAATGGAGGAACAAAAGCATGACTCTTATTCCTTGAGGTGTCATTCCCATTCCCTATGACCCCTACGGGATTAGGCTGAGCTTAGGAGTTTGGTTGAAAGTGTTCTTGCTGGACATCTTCCCCTTTCTTATCACTCCTTCCCAATTCAGTTACTGGTTGATCCTGGGAATACTTCCTCTAACAAATCACCTGGACCCAAATGGTTGACTCAGGTCTGTTTTGTAAAGAAACTAACCTAACATGGCTCTGCTGTTGTCTTCACCCTGGACATCGGGGTCTCTCATGCCTCCCCTTGGGAATACTGCCGAAGAATGATGAGACGCCTGGTCTCAGGCCAGGGCATGGAGTGCTCCAGACTGTTCACCACTCCTTTGTGGTGGAAGATCTTAAGCAGGATGAATGGCCAGCCAAGTAAAGGTCACATCCTTCAAGGAGGACCTTCAGGCTGAACAGTCTGAGGCTCCACCCAAGCCAAGCTGTTTTACTTGAAGGGCCCAGGGAAACAATGGGCTTCCTCAAGCTAAACAGCATAGACCAGAATCCACCTCCAGAGGATTCTCCTGGGTGATGTGGTGTTAGCTATGGAACAGGGCTCTTTTTATAACCCTGAAGCACTATGGAGAATCTGACAACGAATGAGAAAATTTCTCCCAAGCCTGAACCGTGCGTCTTAGAGTTAAGTTGACATCGAATGAAATCAAATAAAGTTTTATCTTTTTCTCTACTATCTCACTGATATGCTAAGAGTTGTAATATAAGGCAGTGAGTTGAACACATCCAGAGGGCTGTAAACAGAAGTTATGACAGTGGAGAACTCAGGGAATAATTCAGAACAATGTGGTAATGTTTTCAGGAAAAGCAGTTCTTTAGTGTACATTCATATACTACCATATTCTCTCATCAAATAAGTAACATCGAATGTGTAAAACGAAGTCCTTACTTTCCATCCCTAACTGAGGAAGTGGGCCTACCTCCCCATTCCCTGATATTCACAAAACTCATGGGTAGACCCCACCATGGGAAGACAACAGTTCTTTTCTTCCACATTACTAGACATCAGAATATTCCTGTCCACAAAAGTAATATATTTTCCTGAATGAATCTAGAATTTTAACGATACCGTAGTGTCCCATGATTATTTGTCTTTTCCTTCTGCTTATATCCCCAAGCTGTAAGTTCAAATGTGGAGACAACAGCTATAAAAAGCTTCCTAGGACCCAAAGAATTCAATTGCTGTTTTACCTTGTGGGAATACCACATGTCTCCCTTTGGAGAAGACTGGTGAGGTGTTATGGGTTGTTGATTTGATTAATTCATCTTTCTGAACCATAACATAAATGTGTAATGAATGCCTTCACTTTGCCCAGCAGAATAAGGCATTAGCAGATGCTTTGCTATATCTTGAACATAGAAAATTTTCATGTGAACCCAAAAATAGAAGTGATATCCACTTAAACATATTCCACTAAGGTATTTTAGACATCTTAAGGACTCTCTTCTGTATCACTTAAGCACTTACCAACAAAAACAGATTGGGGCTTTTCTTCCAATTACTTTTTCCCCAGTTGAGATTTTTGCCAATCAAAATCTTTCCCAAGCAAAACAAAACACACAAATAAAACCAAAAACCTTAATAGTTCAACTAAAACTTTAAGAAACGTTACTGCAGGAAGCCATCTTGTTTCTTCTGGGTGACAGAGAAAGGGTGGTTGGAATAAGTACATCTTTTTTATCAGCACCAGGTCATCCTAAGCAATTATTGCTTTTTAAAACTTTGCTTCTGAGATTATATCAGAAGAAGGTAGGACCCTTCCCAAGGAATAAAGGACAGATAGTGACAAAGGCCTCTAACGAGTATAAATAAGATGGGGATAGTGGTCCCAGGAAATACTAGCTAACTGTAGAAACAGACTATAGACTAAGCTACAACAAAGATTTCATATGACTGACTGATACCATTTCCCTGTTGTGTTGTCTGAAAGAAAACCTCTTAATTTATGAGTAGGAAGTGGGGTGAAACAAAAACAGATTCTAATTTAGATGCCTCCACTGAGAATAACAACTGGAGGCCCAGAATTTGAGTTCCTCATTTCATCGTGTTTTCATTCTCCCTGGGGACTAAACAGAGATCGTCACTTAAGCACTGCACGTGTTATGGTTAATGTAGTGTGGCCGGTGCATTGGGGCACGATTACAAAAGATGAGACCATTAGAAGAGGCCCAGAGATGCTTCTCTGCAATGGGAGAAGCCACGTTCCAATCCCTGTCTGAAAAATACTAGATGGCAGAAGTTGAACAAATCTTTAAGAAGACCCTAGGTCCCCTGAGGGCTGTTACTGACTCTCTACAAGCATTAATGGTCTCTGCTCACTCCTGTGACCTTACTTAGGATGTGCTGGGTTGGTTCTCATGCACAAAGAAAAGCATGGTACATGCACATGTGTCTTTGTGTATGTGTGTGTGTGCGTGTACACAAATGCATATTTCTGGATCTGTTAGCTTTTTAAAATCAACAATATAGATGCCTCCTATTTTAAGTATCCTTTACATAATGTTCTTGTTTTGCTTCTAAATGGTTTCCAATTAATTATTAGTATGTATATCCTCTTTGATTTCAGAAATAGTTTGTTGTGATTTACAAAACTGTGTGCAAACTTCT